TTTACCATACTGATTGAATTCGATTTCTTCTTTTACATGTTGTTGCTTTAGACAATTAGTATTTGAAGTTTAACGGACGCTAAAAATAAAACTTCACGGAACAATAATCATTTATATAAGCTTATTTGCATACTGCCAATGCCCTTTCTGTAAATAGATTTTTCATCACCTCACATTTTAAATAAAATACAATCCCTGAATCTACTCCGTATTATTTCTTGTCACGTGCACATACCAGATTTATCAGGTTCCATATATACTGCGTATAACCGGCTCAGTAGCAGAAAGATAAATTTATCTTTAACAAAAAGAAATAAAATCATAAAAACAAGATTAAGACGAGAGAACGAAAATCAACATACATTGTATATCTATTTATTTTGCACATTTATCCTCAATCCGTCAGAATTGATCGTCTCTGCCATGTTTATTCTTTACTACCCAATAAGGATCTGTTATTTACAACATCAACTGGTAACAAGGAGACGATTTGATATAAGTTTTTGAAGTTGTTTCCGAATCCTGTTTGATCTTCATCAACTGTATGTATGTAATTTATCCTTGTTATTTTCAAATTTAATATGTTTTAAACAAGTATTAGTTCTCACTATGAATTTAGAAGATATACACGTCCTTTCTTTGTATTTATAAATTCTACTCATCTTTTAGGTGAATACATTTCAGAATACAGTATGGAAAAACCTAAATATTATTCACAGCCCTAGCTCATCTATTTTCTGTGCAAGGTGCCGAAGGTCAATACGATTACTTTTCAAATGGCCTGCATAATTGACTTGCATTGATTATTAACGCATATTACGTATTATACCATATAAATCTGGCAAACCAGTGCCATTCTTCAACTCATACCATTTAGTCTCACCTTTCGATCTTGCAAATATAAAAACGTCTTAAATGACATTATTTCAATTCATAGAAAAAGAAATGGTTAAGCCCAATAACTTGGTATCAACTCTTTCTCTTGTACAAAGGAAATTGAATATAGCCTCAAAGAATGGAGGGGTGGGTATTTCTTGATCCTCGTTCTCCAAGCTCTTTCTATTCAACGACTCATTTTTTAAGTGTCAACAGCCTCACAATCCGCTACCTCACAAATCGTCATTTATTATTCTCAATCCGAACTGTAAATAATATTTTATTTCAGAAATTTAAACCCATTAGAATCAAAAGAAGAATATTTCGTACCTAAATCGTATTTGCTTACAGCAAACATAAGCACAGTTTTGTACTCCGACAAATGCCTGTAAGCCAATTAAGTCGTCTCCTTCTATCCAACTTCGATTATTCTTTCAGGAGATTTGGGATTTTAAGGGGGTCATTGAATTACGGAATAAATATGTAAAGAGAACAGCTTAATTCATTTGCATTCGAGTTTAAGTTCAGAAATACAATTGTAGAGATTTGTCAAAAAAATCTTTTCGTTTGAAGTCTTTGACGGATGCAGGGTGTCATTGAGTAAGAATTAATGTCATTAAAGTTGCTATCTGTATTCAGTATTAGTCTTACTAATTACCAGATGTGTCATGGACCTCTAGGGGCCTTTATTTCTTGTATCCACAGCTGTACAAGAGGACATACATTTCATCAGGAGTGCCACACTAAACAAGTGATTAATATTTTCTTAGCTGATAATCAGTATTTTTATGATATTGAATAAAGATGATAAGAAATACGCTTTCCCCTTTTCCCTGCAATCCCTAACAAACATTTACATAACAACTATTTACCATAGTAAACCCTAATTTATTAAAGAACATACCTCTTAAAAATCTTTACTTTGATTTACTCTGATAGTGAAACTTTACTCTGGAAGTTTATGAACCTTTACTCTAGAGCTTTACTGAGATCTGGAGCATTTTAATATCTCCCTATTTCCAAATCAGTGATGAAAATGTAGAAAATTGTAATTTACTTTTCAAGTAATCTTTCCTTTTGATATCAAAAAATCTCTTTTGAGAATTGGATTAATAAAATATATAATAATATGAATTTCACACTAAAAATACCCTGATTTACTGTGGTAAAAACTTTGATTTACTATCTAACAAAACTTTCATACTTTGATTTGATTTACTATTATATATACTTATAGGGATAACAGAATTGCCAATCGGTTAACAAGACGTTCCGATCGATTAACTGGTTAATCGTATCAAAATAGTTACACATTTTCTTGACATTTTTTTTTTCAATCTATTCATACCCAGCTAGAGGACTAAAAAGTCGTCAGTAATATTCTGTGTATGTTTGATCAGAACACTATATTGATTTTATTTTAATTTCATTAAGCGAGAAAAATTAAGAAAACCATGAAACATATCAGAGACATAATTTTTAAGACCAGATGTCACACAAGTTCACTCGGCATTGTAATCAGATCGAAGTCTGAACTATCACTTAATTTACAAAGCTTGTTCAATAATATTATTTGATAGATAACTCCAAAGGATAGACAGGGTAAGGTACCTATTATAATCAGTTCCCAGTACTCGACGATGATTTAATTAATAATCATTAAAGAAGTAACAGGACTTTTGGGTAATAACATGGTGTTTATACAGTAATTTACACTTGAAAAGCTGACCAGTAACCATGGTAACCCCCAAGATCTCAATCCGAAGAGCCTTAATTACCTCCAAATCAGCTTAAATAGATATTTGAAAGATAAACATATCAACGTTTAGAATTTTTTAAAATTGAATTTTAAGGCGTTACAATTAACACATATTTCAAATTTTCTTTCGACAAACCGATTACAGATTTTCTATTACTATCCTTCCGACCGATTAACAGGTTAACCGGTTACGAATTGCCAACCCTGAATTACTTTGATATCTTGATTAACTATTATTAAATAACGTTTACTTTTAGTTTTTTAATTGTTAGTAATTATCTGAATTCGGTGCTTTCTTACGTTATACTTATGATATATTATTATATTATTATTATTATTATTATTATTATTATTATTATTATTATTATTATTATTATTATTATTAATTTTATTTATTTATTTATGTATTTATTTATTTATTTATTTATTTATTTATTTATTATTATTATTATTATTATCATCATCATCATCATCATCATCATCATCATATTGCTATGATATTTGAAAAATAAAGCAGTGCTAGAACTTGATTAATTGATCTTATCAAAAGAAATTGCTTTTATTTAAATACAACCTAAATACTTCACAAAAGTAGTATGTAAATAACTACAATAAGATGCACAAATTTGGTTCATTTCTTAAGCATAAATCTATTTTTTTTTTCTTCAAAATTTCATCTGAGAGACATTATATTAGAAAGAGAAATTTACTAATATAATGTCTATCAGATGAAATTTGAAAAAAAAAAAATTAGAAAAATTTGAAAATGAAAATTATTCATTTCCACGGATCAAACACTACGCCATGCAAATAAGAACAATAAAAATAATAATAATTAGAATATTAATACTATACATGAACATATGAAAATGAATCGAAACTCAGGTAATTGTACTGTCTATTTTAATAAAAGAATCAAAGGTTGTATTCGTGCAGTGTGTTCTAGTGGTAAATATCAGTGAAATATGAAGATAACGAACAGTATTCAATCTCGAAAGTCCAATGAAACGATACAAATTTGGAGCAGAGCAAACACAAACCTCAAAATTTAGAGGTGGGATCAGCTGCCATGGAGGAGTGAGCATCCCCTGCAGACCGGCCACACCCGTCGTGTGCTCCTTGTCGTGATCGGGAAAAAAAACCGGAAAAATCCGTAGACAGTTCAGTGTATAAGTTATGGTCTAACAATTAGTATGAAAAACATCAGTCAGCATTGGACTTAATGATAGGTCGTATGTGCTGACAAGGTCATTGTATCGACCATAAAACTTGCGAAATGATGACTTCAAACGAGACTGTTGATATCCTTGTTTCATCAACTTGTTTGTCAATAGTTTTCTTCTATTAGTTAGTCTCAATGTAAAATATATAAATATCCCTTAAACCTTAAACCATTTCGTTATTCTAAGATTGCAAAGCAGTGATTTGTCGCAAGACCTTGCATTTGTTTCATGCAATGTATCTCACTTTGATAGATTGTTTTTTTTATATCATGATATACAATACTTGTAACATACCTTCAAGTATGACTTACGCAATTTTAATAAAACTTGATTATCTATTTTACTACGTTTAAAATTTAAAAGTTTTAACATGATTTGCAATCTACCATCTATTGAAATCCAGTAGAAGGTTAGCCATCATTAGTACTAGATTTACACGGATCTTAGGAGAGGTTTACAAAGTCATGGAGTGTACTTGAAGGCTCCAGAGTCCTCCTTACTGGGTATCAAATGGCCTTTATCAGGAGTAGGTGGGTTCCCCAGCATTGTTTAAATCAATTTACAGTTTTGTTTTTCCTTGCTAATTGATTTGTTAAAGACTTGTTGGTTACTGTACCGTAAGGTGATTCCATTCGCTTTGTTATTAATTACACCCTAAAGTGACACGCTGATCTCTCGATCGGATATCGTGTCTTTGGCTTAAAAATGACTTCTTTATGAAAAGCAACGTTCTTTCTTTCCTACAGCTAATTCACTTTGCAATTCTGAACTTGGGGAGACATAATGGTTTCCGATCGCGCGTACTGATTAGTTCTGATTTACTCCCACCAGTCAATGGTAACTCACGCCAAACAAACCAATGGGTACTGAGTTTTATCATGGTTGATCTTTTTTACCTTTGAGATTTTATTTTACAGAAACATGTTCCCTAGAAAAAATAAGATGATATACCTCATTAACTACATTTAGGAAACTGACTCTCATGTTATAAAAGGAATGTGATTACGAAAATTTACGTATTTCAATATAATATCACAAGCATACCTGTATTGGATAATGTTTGAGATGGAAGACAAAATAACATGGTCCAATTTACAACATACATCTGTATAAGAATTTTAAATCATCCTATTTTTTTCCAGGCCATTCTGCACCAGGTCTGTTTTTTCATCCTTATCGAAAACCCAAAAGGATAAGAACGGCCTTCTCCCCTTCCCAGTTACTGAAGTTAGAGAACGCATTTGAAAAGAATCATTATGTTGTTGGCCAGGAGAGGAAGGATTTGGCATCAAGACTCAATCTATCAGAAACTCAGGTAAATTCAGTCTTCATTCAAATGGCTTAGCTTAAAAAATCCTAATCTGATCTGAGTCAATCTGAAGCTTTAATAAATATCATTTGAGCTGAATCTATCTGAAACACAGTAAATGTTATCCAACTTCATCTTTCTGAGGCTCAGATAAATGTCTTATCCTCATCTATGCAAAACACAGTTTAATGTCCACAAAGTACAGTTCTATCAGAAGGTCAGATAAATGCCTTCTTCACCCAATCTGTGTGAAACACAGTTTAATGTAACCAAAGCCCAATCTATCTGAAGCTCAGATAAATGTCTGTTTAACCTAATCTATATGAAACACATTTTGATGTAATCTAATCATCTTTTTTCAAGCTCAGTTAAATGTCTTCTTCATCTATATTAAGCTGCATTAAACATATTTTAATGTCATCTAACCATCTTTTTTTTCAAGTTTAGTTAAATGTCTTCTTCATCTACATTAATCTGCATTAAACATATTTTAATGTCATCAAAACTCGTTCTATCTGAAGTTCTGATAAAATATCGGAATCAAAGTTGAATGAAAAAGGTGAAGATAACGAACAGCGATCTCAAAAAAAAAAAAAAAACTATTAAACAATACAAATATGTGAAGAGGGCATACAGTACAAACCCTGGAAATTCCAGAGGTGGGATCAGGTGCCAAAGAGGAGTAAGCATCCCCTGTTGATCAGTTACAGCCGCTGTGAGCCCTATGTATTGATCAGGTAGACGGGAACATTCCGTAGTCAAATTCAGTGTAAAATCAAAGATCTAAGAATTGGTATGAAACACGTCTGCCAAAATACGACCCAGTGATAGGATACATTTTTGCTAATATGGTTATTATATAACGACCATAGAATTTACAAAGTCCTGACTTTAAACGAGGTTGCTGAAATCCCTGTAACATCAACTTATCTGTCAGTGTCATCACCATTCCATATGACGTTCTTATAAAGTCATCTTATCCAAATCTATCTGAATCACTGTTTAATATCACCTAAACTCAATCCTTCTAAAGCTTTAATGTCATTTGAAACTACTCAGTAATGTATCTGAAACACAACATATTTTCATCTAAACTCAGTATGCCCTATTTGTACTCTATCCATGTTAAGCATTGGTGAATGCTACTGAAACTCAATCTATCTGAAATACTAAGTAGGTTAATAAAAATGATTCTCATTCTATCCGAATTATTCTAAGTGCAAGTGAGCATTTTTTGATTAATAAAAAAAATCAATTATGTGTGTCTAGTTCAAATTTTAAAACGACCGGCCGTTATCTGACAAAATGTGCTAATAAAATGATAAATTCAGTCATAAATATTTTCAAAAAAATTGTAGATTTCTTAAATGTGAATATTCTGTATTGGTTTCAAATTGCGCAAATGCTAAGTGAATTGCTAAATCTATTTGAATGTTCATGACATTGAAGTTCAATTTATCTTAAGTTATTTTGATTACATCGATGCTCAATCTTTTTAGATCATCGAGACTTAATCTATGTCTAAGACATCGAAGTCCAATCTATCGGAATTGTGTTAACTACATTGATGCTCAATCTATGTGAATTATGTATATGGCATCTAAACTCAATCTCTCTGAAACAGACTGAATACCTTCACATTTAATGTGTCTGAAACAGCTATGTAAAATTATGTTTAAAAAAAAACCGAGGAATATTCTTCTTAACACTTGAAATTTCATTAAAAAAATAACTTCAATTACAAATTCCCTTTTAAAGAGTTGATTTCCGTACCATTTGTTCAAATGCAAAAGACAATAAAAATATATATTTACACTGAATGTCAAATAAGCTTTCAAAAAGTTTCCAATAATTCATCCAAACATAATGAATCATATAGGACGTTTTTCCCGTTTAATGTACCGTTTGCCCGAAGCATGGGGAATACTGTCCTATCCATATGGTAAATTCTAACTCATTCAAAAAATTGTTTTTTAATAATATTTTCTTAATAATATTTTTTCAATAAATAGTACCACCGAATTATGGCTGAAATATTGCCGACTCGGCGTTAAGCACTAATCAATCAATCAATAGCATAAATATGTATCACAAATTCATATTTGATATGCATACTACATGTTAAGCTCAATTTTGAAAATATTCGGTCGATAGCGATATCGCTAGATTTTGTTCAAGTACATTTTTTTTAATTTAAACAATATTTTATTATGATTAAAAATAACTGGATTGGACAGCAGGCACTGCCTATATAAGTCCTCTCCACAATATGGGTCAAGTCATACATGTTACAATTAAATATTAATTACATAACATTGAAAAAATATATACATGTGTATATTCTAAAGAGACAAGTACATGTTCAAGTACATGAGTGTCCAATGCATAGTGAACTCCCCCTATAATGAAATATTTTTAATTAACTGAGAGTCAAAAACTTTGTTTCCGATAGAATAAAACATCACTTGCTTTAAGTCTCAAATTGAATAAAGTTTCTTTGTTTAAATAAATTCTAGTAACATTTAATTTTACACGTATCCAATTATATATATATATATATAGAGAGAGAGAGAGAGAGAGAGGCACATTCTTAAAGTATTTTAAGTCTGCTTTGAAAACAAAATACTAAAAGAAAAACATTTTGACATTTAGAAAAACTATTTTTCTTTTAAAATTACCATGAATAGCCTCATATTCTTCTAAAAGATTTCGATAAGCGTTGTTTCTTTGATGTTTGATTCGAAGAGCAACCTGGTCCATATATTGAGCAATACGTCATTAATAATGCCCCCTGAAACAACGCATATGACGCAATTACACAACCATAGCACGAACAAATCACCCTTAATTGAAATGTTTGCCAGTAAATCGGAAACAACATTATTTGGTAATAGTTAGGGTAGATGGCTGACTAAATCTATCAATTGGTTAAGTAGCTGCTGATGATTTCTTAATTTGAGTTGCCATTCTTAAGAGGTGACAACAATGTCTAACAAACACTGATTGCACCTTGAAGCACGCGACAATTTGCGCAAATTGAAACCAATACAAAATGATTACTAAACATTTTCACATTTAAGAGATCTACAATCTTTCTGAAAATATTTATTACTGAATTTATCATTTCATCAGGACATTTTGCCAGGTAAAGGCCGACCGTTTTAAATTTGATCTAGACGCATATATCACTGATTTTTTATTTATCATGAGTGCTATCATGAAATGCACATATGTTGTGTTTGATTTAGTGAATTAGTTATGTAGACATTTGCTTTTTATAATCAGAAAAACAAACATTAAATAACATGGCCTCAGAGATTTTATTCAGCAATTCATTTTTACATTTTTGTTTTCTAAATTTTGAATTTTTAACAAAAAAGAATTCATGTTTGTGGTACTTTATCTCTGTTTTTTTTTTTTTTTTTTTTTTTTTTTTTTTTTTTTTTTGTGAAGAAAACTAATATTTCCTCTATCTTAATTAAATCGCTTGTCAATGCTATATGACTTTGCTATTAATGACATTTACAATATCATGGTTTATAAAACATATGGATTAAATATATTTTAATCAACAGTTACAAGGTCATTGATTGAACAAAATTCGTAATATTATTAAAAATATCTCATTGAACAACATACTGAAGTCTGAATTAATCCATTCAAAGCAAGATGTTTAGATATTTTGACATCTGAAATATGACTCTGAGTTATCGTGTCATTCGCAACAACATACTTATCCACACATGTAGGATTCAGAGTTATAGCCTGAACAGACAGACAAACAATCATTCAACAACACGCTTGTTTTTTTCTCGTCGGGAAACATTTTTATTTTCGAAAATTATATATGGTAGTGGATATATTTAATTTAATTAAAAGGAAGAAAACTTTCTTTTTCGAGATCTTATTGATGATTTCTATGCATTTCATAAAAAATAAAATATGAATATTATGTGTTTTGATTAATACCTAAATTGATTACATCACCGTAGTATTTTACAAGATACCTTTAAATATTTGGAAAGTGTGCCTTGTCGTAAATCCCATAGTCCCTCGCAAGAAGACGAACAATTTACATTCGTACTTTACATGCTTTTCATAATGAAAAGATTGTTTGATAAGAGAAATTTGAACTCGAGTTTGTTCATTTTCAAGCCTATTGCAGCGCATTCAATACCCATATTAGTCTTATCATCCATTTGGATCACATGGTCGCTTTGAGTTTGTGCAGAGCGGAAGTGATGATCATAAAAAGGGTTATCTGCAGACTAAAGGTTCTTGGTGGAAATTACAGAAAACAATTAAATTAGTGGCAATGTTGAATAAATTAAGCCGTCTAATTTGTTCAATGAGATGTGAATCCTATGTGTGTTTTTCTGCTGTACTGTAAATGAATTCAGAGACCCTTCTTATCAACGCAGTTCTGCAGTCAGTAGTCATAACGTTTCATTTATTTCGTCCATATTCTTCTTGTCCGTTAACAGTTAAGCACAGTGTTCACGGTCATTTAAACTGTCATTTTATGTATTAGATAACAAAAGATTTTTCAATTATCATTTGCTAGTTCCGTTAATGTTTCCAAATGGTTTTGGAGCTGGAAATAATTTGTTTATCAGTTTATGGTTGTGATGAAGATCATGATAGTGGGGGTCATGATTCCAATGTGTGTGGCTTGGTAGCTTAACCCTAAATAAGACAGGAATGACACAAAGAGAGTGTCCTGCTCCAACTGTCCAACAGGATAATATGCACATACACCCAAACATACTATGATGTATATAATTCCATGTCGTTTGTATATGTATAAATTTTGGTAGTACGCATGCTGTAATGTGATCAAAATCAGTTTCATTTCTTGAACGTCCGCTATATAGTCCACCAATAGTTCGCTACTATTATTTTTAATTTTACGTAAAAATAGGAGATGACATATGATTTATATAGCCTTGAAAAGTCATTACCTAAGATTTATATATATGTAAATATATTTTCAATATTTATACTATATTCTAAGTGTTATTTAATAAATAAAAATTGAAATAAAGCTAAAACATATTTTCATTTCGACGACAACAGACATGCAATCATGTGTTCAATATTTATGGTTTATTGCTTGAAGAAAAAAAAACACTATATATTTGAGTTTTGTATTTTCTAACATCAGTACAAAGACTTAATGCGCACCATTGAGTAAACACATCTATAATATACCCAGTAAAACTTTTAATTTCTCATGAAGGATTGGTTATTTCGCAATTGTAAAATCATATAAACGATAATGACTTATTTTGATCCACTACATAAAGTTGTATTAGTGTGGTAAATTTTTCTTCTATCAAGTATGCCAGATTGATCAACTGTAAGAAATGTTAATCTGTAATTCAGAATATCATATTCAACTCCCTATGATTATTAAATACATGTCAAGTATATCAGCAAGTCCCAGAAGAAACTTATGAAATGAAATGTCGAGATAATGTCCATGTTTAGTATTTATTAGATAAATTTTATGAAGGGTAATTGAAAGGGAGCAGTCAGTAATTCCTTTCTGCCCAGGGATCCGTCATATTGAATGAAAATCTTCTAACCAGCAGATAACGTTATTGTGTTGCATGAAATCTTATTCACATGAGGCCGGCGTTTTTGGCAAATGATGGACTGCCAACATCTACATTAAGGATTCGGTATAATATAATTCTTTCTAATTTCATTTTAAACACCAGAGGGAGTCTTTGTTCGGTTGGTTTATCCCAGTCTGGTTCCAATGATTCTCGTGAACAGAATTATAATTTGTTTTGGACCAGCGTATCATATTGCGATGATTTATTGCAGCAATTACATTCTGAGCAAAATTTTTAAACAACTTTAAATTTGTTGAACAAAAATATGCCTTAAATTTTGGATTTGAACGATTTTAAATATAAATTGATACCCTTATATAATCATACTAGCTTCACTTTTAATAAATTAAACAACTAATGCTTATAGTTAAATAGATACCGTAAAGAAAATTAATGTATCTTAAATATCTTTGCTACGAATTTGTATTCTAAGTAACAATAATATATGTCTGCCAATTAATTGAATTTAGTAACGATGTAACTAAATAAGTGTTTCATAAACATTTTGTTAAGTTAGTAAATCCACGAACAAATGTCCTGCATCGTTTTTTCAATGCATGAAATCATTCATCAATCATCGGTTAGCAATTTCAATTAATTTTTATTGTAAATAAATGCTTAATCTGAGTTGATAGTTGAATCATATCCATGTACAATCTAAAAATGAATGAAAAATTTATTTTTCAGGTGAAAGTTTGGTTCCAAAACAGAAGAACAAAGTTCAAAAGAGTAAAACATGATGGCGAATTAGAACAGGAAGACCAGCCCGGAAGTTCTCAGAATGGATATGAGGAGGATTATGGGATACTAAATGTTACAGAAAACTCTGATGACGAAAGTGACGACGATGATATTTCTTAGAAATAAACCGGAAACGAAACACCTCAGGGATATTAGTAATATAAGATTTTTTTTATTAAAAAATATTCATGGTGCTGTCTCATGTAACATTGAGTCATACAAAATCTGCGGGAAAAATACCGACATATAAGTATTGTAATTCCTGGAAGAATCTCGTTGAAGCACTATTTATCTTAATATGATTTTGTTTAAAAAGCTTAAAAATATAACAAAAATATTTTATTTTTCACCATAAAGGACTTGTATAAAGAAAATGAATACAAATGTGATTACAGTGAGTTTTTTATTTACAATTATTAAATATTTCCAAATGTATCTTCATTTTTTTTTTAAATTTCTGATTTGATATATCATGATGACAATGAACAATTATATCTCTTCCAATATTATGTATATTTCTGTGTAACATAATTCTTTTATTCTATATACAATGCTATAACCATATTAATCAATCCACTATCATATTATAAACATAAATCAAATAAATGTATACGTTCATTTGTATTTTTATGAAGAAAGGGTATATAAATTCTTATTTTTCTTGACCTGTTACTTGATTTTAAATCTTATAATACGCATTGCTCGGTGGCCTCTTGCTTTGTTTACCAATAAATCTATATCTATTACAAAATCTCTCTTTTTTTCAAATTGAACATAATTGTTCTTTTGTTATATGTTCGTATAAATGAAGCAGTGATCATGCTTTAGTTCATTACTTCATTGTTCTTATTCTTTGTCAGTAAATTAAGCTAAAGACAAGACTTTTTGTTTCTTGCTTAGATTTAAAAAAAAAAAAAATCAAAAGAGAGAGTTTAATTTATGTTTTCTACCTCTTACAGCACAGTCATTAAAAATGAATATCTTCGCCATTTTCCAGAAATTCTTCTGAGGTCTGACATGTTCCAAAAATTGAAGATGTTTAAAGTTGGATGCTGTTTTTTTTTTTTTTTTATTTCAACATATTTTATTGCATAGTACATACAAAAGGATTGGATACAAGTATTTTCAACTTAATAGATCTTCTCCTTGTTATACAAACAATAAATACAATATGATTGTCATAACAAATAAATTGAGATAATTTACAAAAAAAAATATGTTATACATGTTATATATATGAAAAGTATAAAGACACATACTCTGAGTAATCTATCAGACTTCTAATGTTACAAATACACTGATTACAATGTTCATTGATCAAGAAGCTTGCATGTTTATTAAATATTTTTAAAATTTTCATTCTACATATATCAAAGACATTGTTTTGAATTAGATTGTATTTGATTCTCGAATAAATTTCTGGACACTAGAAAAAAATTTGAATATTTGCATCGGTATACAAAGATTCTCGTTTCCACATAATAAAAAATGACTGTCTATTATATTTTGCTTGTTAAGTTGAAGAATAGTGCTTATTAATATAAGTCATTTCGTGGACATTCATATTTCTTGCATACAAAGAAAAAGTGATAAATGTCTTCAGTTTGGCCACAAGTACATTTGGGTGAGGAAATTACATTTCTCCGATATAGTTGGCTATTTAGGATACAATCATGTCTTAATTTAGTGTGAATAATATTCCAAAAAAAAGTTTTTCATATGAAAAATAAGAAGGTGGTTAAGAGGAGTGTGTAGAAATACTTTTTTAAATTGATTGATGAACTTTAATTCCCTTACTCCCAGATTGAGAAAATTCCAGTTGTTAATTACTTCTGGGACAAAGGATTTTTTTTTTTTAAGATTTCAAGTCTACATTTTGGAATTGTGTAGTTTTCTGTACTACGAATTTGCATAATGAAATGTTCCCTCGAGTATTCGGAAAAATCTGTTTTAAGTAATCAGGAACAGTGTTGTTATGTATTTTAAACATTGTACATGTAGTTAATTTTGCTTTTTTTCCTTCTCTCTAAAAGAGGTTCCCATCTCGTTTCTGAATAGAGCGATTCGCTAGAAACAAAAATTTGAAGACCCGTAATGATTCGTGTGGCAGTAAGCTGAACTTTTTCTAATTTTTCAATATCATACTGTGTACATCCATCCCAGACAACGGACCGGAACATATTCAAGATGAGGTCTAACAAAAGCTGTGTACATTTTAGAAAGTGTGTTACGTCCATGAATTTGAGTTTTTTTTCCCCGAAAGATCAAGTTTTTTATAAGCACTAAATACTATGCTATTAATATATTCAGACCAACTTAAGTCTTGTGAAAAAAGTAGTCCAAGATGTTATGCGTGGATATACACTCTATTTGATATTGTTGAAAATATATTTTTTGGAAGCTCAATTTTTTTTAGTGTGAAGAATATAGCTTTAGTTTTTGAAAGGTTAAATTTTAGTAACCATTTTTTAGACCATTCATCTAAAACTTCTAGATCATGATTAGTATTGTAATGCAGTATTTATCCATTTGTTGTTTGAAACATCGACGAATGTGCATAATGTATTCTTTGCTATCCACTCGTTGATTATATGGAAAGTTTAATTGTATTGTTAGAGGCCTGTTCGATAGTAATTACAAATTTGTATCTAAGTATCATTTGAGTAAACCTTATAATTATAATAAACCCTCCTGCAGTTATAAGTAACATCTATAATTAAAATTACATGAAGTACAGTCACAGCGTACCCAGGATTTAATCGTAAGTCATTCCTATTTTCCGTGAATGACAGTTTATATATATGTTTGGTGCTCTTTTTAATTATATTCAAAAACCTTATTCGTTAAAGTACATGTAATTCATCAACTGCTCAATAGCTGATCCGATATTTTTTTTAAAGAATTAAATGCTGATTTGCTTATGTACTGAAATCTTAATGCGTTAGCCAAAGATTTCTTTTCGTCTATTGTAATGGTGTTTTTATATTTTATTTGACTTGGGTGGCAGTGATGGGGGTGCATGTCTGACATCAGTATTGTGAATCTTCTCAAATGATCTGTGATTTATTACTTGAAAGCACAAATAATGTTTTCAGAAAATTCACAAACTGAAATCATTTGGAAATCAATTACAGGCAATCAGAGCCCATTTGACGCTCTCTCGCTCGATCTTCATTGCGATTTCAGAGAAAAGTCTATTGTTCAGATGAAATCATTTTTTTTGTACAAATGTTTAGTTAACGTTGGATACATAAATCACATATTAGTGTCATTCATTAAGGTATTTAGATAAGTAAGTTTATTGATATAATATTCGCAATTATATATTTTAAGCACATTGATGAAATTAGTCAATAAAGTAATTTAGGTTCTTTCGTAAAAATGTTTAAAAACGGTTTTAATTCACATGCAAAACAAGCTTAATTAGATTTATTTAAAAATTAAACTGACAAGAAATATACATCAGTGTTCGTTGATTCATTATATGTGTCTTTCTTAGCAGTTGGATAGACATGGACCGATTTGAAATCATGCTTAAAACACACTGAAATTACCACGTGTTTTTTCGTAGAATTACGTTAGAAAACATGTCTTTCTCTGCACCTGATTCTTTTAATTTTTTCTTTCCAAAGGTTACTATTTCACGTGGTCCCGAACACCTGATAGCTTTGGTGGATTTAGGAACTTTGAACAGGCAGAAAACTAATACAAGTAAAACCCACCGAGAACAAATCTGACATCCTTAGAAATTGGCAAATGGATATTCCATTCCAAACCTAACATGTGTGCAAAATATTAAGTACAAGCCACTGGACAAAAACATTCTCATCAATGATATTAAACCTTAATCCTTTTTCTTTAATTGCATTTTAAGAATAATTTTCATATAAAGATTGAAAATAAACTTTGCAGTCTGTTCTATTTGACACTAATACCTATTCATGGCTTTGTACGACATGCTCTACGGCTAAACGATACAAATTTCAATTTTCTGTGAAAGGTGGTGTAATGAAACTCTGTTATAGGTCAAAAATACCTCCATGTGGTGTGTTCTTTTGACACTGAGCCAATTATTATTCATAATTGTGCTGAATTCTATTTCACAACCACTGGGAAAGCAATTTCTCTCGATGTTTTCTTCTTCGGGTGTACAAATTTCACAGTTTTAGGAAAATTCGAAATGTTAATATGTAAAAACGGACAGTTAATGATATAAGTTTATGGAATTGATCTATGTTTATCTCGATGCAATCTATATATGTCTGTATAAAACCCCTTTCAAAGGCTTTACACATTCCTTTTCTATAGATAAATTTATATTAACTCCCCATAATTTTCAATATACTTATAACTATAAAAACATCCTAAACAATTATGAAGAACTGTCATGTCTTGCACTTGATTTATTACATTTAATTAATATCTATTAACTTGTATTTCTATGGTACAATGTACAATTACTTTGATGAAAAATTCTTACCAGCAGGAAACATGTGGTCCACAGTCCATTATTGTCACTGAATAAAATTCTACGTCTCGCGTCTTTCACAGACTATGAAAATTTTCTCCTTTTTTTGAAAAGAAAACTTTTTTTCTTTATTCACAATAAAATATCACTAATACTTTATTTTAGGTGTCAAAATATCTGACGATATATACCTGCATCAGGTGTATCTTAGGCTTCCTTTGACAGTTCTAAGATATAAATTTTCTACAACTATCACTGCTTCCTTTGTGTATGAGATGCAAACACCTGATGATACAATTTATTCAAAACACTGTAAAATCAGTTAAGACTCACCGTTTAAAAAGATTTTGTTTTCAATTTTCAGATGCAAACAAATGTATCCAATACACATTGAACTGCTTTCTTGATAAATAAATGCTGCTTTATTAATTACGAATATTCCTTTGAGGTTTTTACTGAGGCTAAATTGTTTTTACTTTTGCATCTACATGTATTTTCTTATCGACAATGTTCGTGCTTTAATTTCATTTATCAATATAGTTTTCTTTTTTTATTTTGTCACATTTGCTTTTCACTTAAAATGAAAGGCTTCTCAACTTTTATGAATCCTTAAAAGGAAAATATTTACAATGCAACTTCAGGTACTGAACCCTCATCAAGGCAGTACTAAAATTG